ATTTGAATGTCTCTCTGTCTTTATATGTCTTTCTGCAAACTCTCTCAAAAATAAAGAAGCCCTGGCCAGGTAGCTCGGTTGGTTAGAGCATCGTCCCAGTAAGCCAAAGTTGCAGATTCAATCCCCAGTGATCAGGGCACATACAACAATCAACCAATGAACACATAAATAAGTGGAACAAGAAATAGACGTTTCTCTCTCTCTCTCTGAAATCAATAAATGAAAGAAAGAAGGAAGGAAGGAAGGAAGGAAGGAAGGAAGGAAGGAAGGAAGGAAGGAAGGAAGGAAGGAAGGAAGGAAGGAAGGGAGGAAGGAAGGAAGGGAGGGAGGAAAGGAAGAAAGGAGGAAAGGAAGAAAGGAGGAAAGGAAAGAAGCTAAAATTAGTCTCTCTCACCCTTGTGACTGAAACTTCTGCTTTCCCCAACAGTCATCAGCTAAGATCTGGGAGACAACCTGAACCCTTCTTCTGTACTTTACTCAGACCCAGTGCTTGCATCAGCTTCATCTACAATATCACAGAGAATTTTAAGTTTCAATGATTACATAATTCTTTTATTTATTTATTTGTTTGTTTGTTTGTTTATCTATTTATTTATTTATTTTAAAGAATAGTGCATTAACTTTTAGAGAAAGGGGAAGGGAGAGGGAGAGAGAGAAAGATCCATGTGAAAGTGCAACACTGACCGGCTCCCTCCTGCACGCCCCCTACTGGAGGTGGAGCCCACAACCCCGGCATGTGCGCTGACGGGGAATTGAACCAGCAGCCTCTCAGTGCACAAGACGATGCCCAACCAACTGAGCCACACTGCCCAGGGTCCTAATTCTATTATTTTGAAAGTTTGGTTATTAATATATAATTCATATACCATAAAATTTAATTAAGTTTTTAGTATATTTACAATGTTGTGTAACCTTCATCAATATCTAATTTTAGAACATTTTCATCACTCTAAAAAAAGGCTCCACAGAATACAATTAAAAAACTTAGGTGGCAGCTTTAAAATATAAATATTTACAATAGACTGGACATCATATTCTTTTCTACGATTTAGATATTAAATGACAATTTTTAAATGTTTTTAAATGTTTTTGAGGGAGCATATGCTATTTCAAAATTATTTTAGAAAGTATCCAGGCAAAAACTGTGAAGACTATTGGTTTGAATTAATATGAGAGGATATAGGTACAGTAATCTCCCCCTATCTGTGACTTTGCTTTCCATAGTTTGTTACCTCTGGTCAACTGCGGTCTAAAAATATTAAATGGAAAATTCCAGAAATAAACAATTTATAAGTTTAAAATTGCATCATTCTGAGTAGTGTGACAAAATATTGCACCATCCCACAGGGGACCTGAATCATCCCTTCGTCCAGAACGTCCATACTATATACATACCTGCCCATGGGTCGCTTAGTAGCTATTTCAGTTATCAGATTGACTGTTGCACCATCACAGTGCTTGTGTTCAAATCATCCTTATTTTACTTCATAATGGCTCCAAAGCTCAAGAATAGTTAAAGCTTTATCTCAGGTATGTATGTATAGGGGAAAATATAGCATACATAGAGTTTCGGTACTATCCATGGCTTCAGGCATCCATAGGGGTCTTGGAACATATCAATCATGAATAAGGGAGGGGACTACTGTATGTACCAGGAAAAGGAGTAGAGTACTTTAAAGCCTTTGATGGAAGGAATCTATGGTGCAAAAATTTGCTGTATGATTAATGTCAAAGGATATAAAGTGATCTTGTTAGAGGACTGATGTTGTTCATCCAAGGGCTAGCTGTGTGGGCATGACACCTGGGCAACAGCACAAGGCCCACGTTCAGAAGCTCTTGTGTTTCCTTCAGTGTTCTGCTTCCAAACTCTTGACATTCTTAATTAACTTTCAACTTTAATTTTGTGAAATGAAGTCTAATGAGACAATAGAGCATAAAAGCATTCCCACTGACATTTCTTGTCACCCTATTTGTATATAGCATCAGTAATGCCCTATGCACAGAGAATACCATGGACCTACAATGTTATGAACATTTAGTGAAATGCACAGTATTAAGGAAGAAAGAAGAGAAAGAAAGAGGAGAGAAATTAAGAGAACAGCAGGGAAGAGAAATAAAATTACTAAATTTCATTTCCACTTTTCTTGAGAATTCTCTGTGGACAGTTTCCCTTCCCATTTCAACCCCTCCTTATTCTCTCCCTTAAAAAAATGAGCACCATGGCTCAAATCCCTAGAGCAGACCCCCTGGGTTTTCACACCCGAGTTTCCACAGACAGTCAATAAATAACCTCACTTACTAAGCTCCTTGACCAGAGGAGGCTAGAACTCAGAGCTAAACTGAAAACTCACTGGGCTCACAAAATTGAGGACAGATTACATATTTCCACCCAGACATATCAACACTTAGACACAATTATCCTCCAAACCACACCCATATAACCAGCACAAAATCACAGCTTGCACATCCATAAACAAATCATTGCATTCAGATAGACAACTGTACAAACTGTCACTGCACCATGTACCCTCCCACACAGCTTCACACTCACATATGACATGGGTCACCAAGCTCCAACCTTAGTATGCTCAACTTGTAAGCATCCATTACTCACACAGCCATGTTCTTGAAATCAGATTCCTCAAAAATCTGTTGAAAAAAAGAACTGAGTTCATTTCTTAAAGTCTAGGTCTAAGAGGGAGACCTGAGAAACTTGGCCATCATAGGGACCCAGACACAAAGCTGAGGGAGATGAATTTGGGCAGATGCCCTATTCCACCCAGAGTGGGGCTCCAGCTCACTGTCTTCATTTCCCTGGAAAAAAGCCTTGCTTGTACCTAATCATTCTGATCCCCAGATGCTCACTGAGTAGCAGCTTCCTTACAATTACCATTTGAAATCTTCTTTTGTAGGCAGGAATAGGCCAGGGAAATGGGAAAGAGCAGATGTTAGTGACTCCAACCCTCCACTTTCCATTGTCCAAGCTTCTCATCTCTAATGGCTGGGACCTCCAGACAAATCAGAGGGACTCCCCACTTTTCTCTGTCTCTGGAAATCAGATGTAGAAAGTGATTGCTACATTAGTTACTGACATTAAAGTGCCTTTGCAAAAAAAAAAAGGAGGGGTGGGATTTTAAGTGCTAGGCATACAAATGTACAGTTAAGTGAGATGAAAACACCAAATGTTAAATCAGAAAATCTGAGGCCTAATTTTAGTCCTGACAGTAACAGGCTTTGTGATCTGGATTATATCAGTTCACTTATCTGAACTTGGACTTCCTCTTGGCAAGACAGAGGTGAGTATGATTATTATATTCTGTATCACTCTCATATGCAGCTATGAGACAAGGAACTTATAAAAATGAAGAGGGCATTGTTTTGGGGGTCTGAAATTTTTAATTCCATTTACTGTATTCTTTCTCAAACACAAAAACTGTGTGAGATAAGTAAGCCAGGTGTTGTCATTCCCAATTTAGAAATTAGAAAATTGAGTCTTGAAAAGGTCATAAGACTTAACCAATGCTAAATAGTAAATAGTAGAAAAGCTGAGACTAGAATTCCAGAGTTGTTGCTTTTTAATTGTTGGGTTTTTTTTAGTTAAAGTTTACAGTCAATATTATTCTCTATTAGTTTCAGATGTACAGTATAGAGGTTAGACACAATCATGAAGATTACAGAGTTGTCCCTCTGATATTTCAAGTACCCACCTGGCCTCCTACGTAGTTATTATGATATTGACTATATTCCCTATGCTGTACTTTACATCTCTGCTACTATTCTGTAGCTACCAATCTGTTGCTTTTTATACACAGAGACTTCCCAGAAAGAAGGAGTAATTGTCCCAGGCCATATAACACTGTTGTGATAGAATCAGGACTTAAATTCAGAATTCCAGGCACCCTACAAAGGATTATTTTAGGTATATGACATTATTGAAGGAGGATGTACATAATACTAGCTCTCCACAACAAAAAGTAATTCACTCTTCCAGGCTGTATACTGTTGGTGACCTCCAGGCCACTCCACTCACTCCTCAATCTGCCTCTATCATCAGTTGACATTCTGATGAGAGCATTAATCCAACCATTGCACTAGTGGGCACACCATACACTGAATTGGCTTTACCATAGTTGGCAGTGCTGCATCTCAAGTCAGAATGTCTGATGCATCTGTTACTTTCTCTCATAGTACCATCATGTATGCAAAAACAATAGTTATTTAATCATGAGGCATTGGAGCATATTCAGGTTGCCTAGTCCCTTCATCAACACTATAGATGCGATACAAAAATAAGTCATTTGAACAGACATGTTATAAATACAGATTAAGTCAGTAAAACATGACATTAAGGCAAGACATCAATGGTATGTTATTAAGAGTTATCAGAATAGAACCTTTTAGTGAACACTGAGCAAAATTTCTAGGTACAGATATAGCCATCTTGTGTTACAACTGTGTAAAGACATAGTCCCAAGCTCCACAGACTTTTGCAAAATAATGGATGAATAAAAAATATAAAGATGACTAAGGACTAGATTAGAGAGAGGAGGCTTCTAGGAGGCAGAGACACTTGCTTGCCATTAAAAAACTAAAGGGGTAAAAAAGAAAAGGGGATCCTTGAGTGAATGGAATAGCATACACTAAAAAAAAGAGGCAAGAAAAAATTCTAGATGTATGTGGACAAAAGAGAGTAAATGGTGTGCAGGATGTGGTGGGAGATGAATCTGTAAGGATTAGACAGAGAAAATGCTTAAATTCTTAGCTTGGGGCTTAGAACATAGAACTCAAAGCATGAATTCTGAATGTAGAAAATAGCAGATGATAAGAATGATTATATGTAGTAGTATTTTTTAAGATTCTTGAACATGCTAATAACAATAAATATTTTTCTCATACTAATATAGATTATTCACAGAAAGATCACAGTTTTATGTGAATGAACCAAATATCTAATGTTACAGGACAGGTGTACTATCACCCCTTGGATAGAATCTTATTTGCCAGCCAGAATGTCAGCTTCCAATATGAGTGATGACAGTCTCCCAACCACTCTCTTTCTGATGGGGATCCCAGGGCTGGAGTGGGCCCACATCTGGATTGCCATCCCCTTTTGTATCATGTATGTGGTAGCACTGGCTGGAAATGCTGCCCTCATCTTGGTCATTGCTATGGACAATGCACTTCATGCACCCATGTACCTCTTCCTTTGCCTTCTCTCACTCACTGACTTAGCTCTCAGCTCCACCACAGTGCCTAAAATGCTGTCCATTTTGTGGCTCCATGCTGGTGAAATTTCCTTTGGAGGCTGCCTGGCCCAGATGTTTTGTGTCCATTCTATCTATGCTCTGGAGTCCTCAATTCTTCTTGCCATGGCCTTTGATCGATATGTGGCTATCTGCAACCCTCTGAGATACACAGTTATCCTCCACCATACAGTTATAGTCAAAATTGGTCTTGTTGGGATATTCCGGAGTGTGGCCATTGTCTCCCCCTTCATCTTTTTACTGAGGCGACTGCCTTACTGTCAGCACCATGTCATGGCACACACCTACTGTGAGCATATGGGCATCGCTCGACTGGCCTGTGCCAACATCACTGTCAACATTGTCTATGGGCTGACTGTGGCCCTGTTGGCCATGGGTCTGGATTCTGTGCTCATTACTATCTCCTATGGTTTTATCCTCTGTGCTGTCTTTCGTCTTCCATCCCGCGATACCCAGCACAAGGCGCTGAGTACCTGTGGCTCCCACCTTGGGGTCATCCTGGTCTTCTACATTCCTGCCTTCTTCTCCTTCCTTGCCCACCGCTTTGGGCAACACCAAATCCCCAAGCATGTGCACATCTTTCTGGCTAATCTCTATGTGCTGGTGCCTCCTGTGCTCAACCCAGTCATCTATGGGGCCAGGACCAAGGAGATTCGGAGTCGGCTTCTAAGACTGCTTCACTTGAAGAAGATTTCAGTATGAATTCTGAGCAAAGGTTGGAAGTGAGAAGAATAAATGTATATGGTAGTTGTCTAGATGCATTTACATGGGCAGAGAACTATGATATGAGAGGAATGTTTTTACACGAGAGGAATGTTTTTCTGGAAAGAAAAGGTCAGATTTGCCTGGCCGGTGTGTTGAGGTTGAGTGTTGACCCATGAACCAAGAGGTCACTGGTTCGATTCCTGGTCAGGGCACATGCCCAGGTTGTGGGCCCGATCCCCAGCGGGGGGCATGCAGGAGGTGGCCGGTCGATGTTCTCTCTCATTGATGTTGCTTTATCTCTTTCCCTCTCCCTTCCCCTCTCTCTCTCTAAAAATTTTAAATAAAAAGAAAAGAAAAGGTCAGATGAATGAGAGATATCAACAACCACATTGAAATATCTTTTTTTCTGAGGCTCCTTGGGGAACTCAGAATAGCCCAGAAAGGTGATAATATTTTTTGTTTTGACTCAAAAGTGACTGTGACTTAATAAAGAGTAAGTCAGTTGCTGTTCTGAAAAGAGTCTGGGTTTCACGGGGGGTGGAGGGAGCTATTCTACTCTGAGTTCAAGTAGGAAAAAAAAAATTGAAGTAAATTGTATCTGAGTTCCAATATTTTGAGTGATTAAGCACACAAGGTTTAACGTCAGAGTGCTTGGATTTGAATCCTGGTTCCTTCACTTGTTTTGTGGCCTAGAGCATATTGTTAAATTTTCCTCTGCCTCAGTTTGACAAACTGTTAAGTGGCGAATAATGACAATATCTCTTAATGTTGTGTTGAAGAATAAATAAATTATTCTACTCCTATGTCTCTGGGTCTATTTTGTTTTTTAGCTTATTTTCTTCATTATATTCTACAAATAAATGAAATCATGTGATGCTTGTCTTTCTCTAACTGTCTTATTTCACTTAGCATAATGCTCTCCAGGTCCCTCCATGTTGTCTCAAAGGGTAAAAGATCTCTCCTTCATACAGCTGCATAATATTCCATTGTGTAAATATACCACAGCTTTTTTATCCATTCATCTGCTAATGGACACTTGGGCTGTTTCCAGATCTTAACTATTGTATATACCACTGCTAATATGTATTTCTTAATTGATTCATTGGAATTCTAAAACGTCATCACAATAGGCATCTTATCTGTTTCTTACATAATGCTAGTACACTCTCAAAAAATGTTATGAAAAAATATTATGGACCACGCTGGTATATATCCTATTTTTTTTGTTGTTGTATTAATGAATAAATGGATGTCTTTATTATGTTACTGTGATGAGTAATGACAATGTATGCCAAGTATAGTGTCTGGCACACAGTGTATGTTCAATGACTAGGTTTTGTTTATTTCATATTACATTGGGCTGATCAGATAAAGCCACGTCCACAAGGATCAAGATAGAGGGAAGGGAGAGTGTTTTTATTCAGAATTGCAATCACAGCAAAGAGTATCACGAAACCCATGGGTGAGACGAAGGAGAAGTGGCAGTTCTGGCCATGGGAAAGTTCAAGTCTAGCTGTAGAGGCAAGTTCACCCTTGGGGAGTTGTCATGAGCCAGGGCTAGTCATGTCTGCGGTCTCAGAGGAACTCAGAGGAGAGAGAGCAAAAGGGTAGAGCAGGAACTGGAAGAGGAGGGACAGGATAATGTGCAGGAAGCAGCCAACCAAGAGGACTACTGAAGAACTCGAGGAAGCTGAGATTACATTCCTAGGGGCCTCAAAAGCCAGACCAAAATCAAAAGAACTGTGCAGCCCTTACAAGTGTTATAAATTTATTGAAACAGTGATGTATTCAATTTCAGTTTATTAATAGCTTTATTTAGGTAAAATTGATATAGAAACACTGTACTTGTTTAGTGTGTTTGGACATATGCATACTCCTGTGATGCTATCACCACAGTCAAGGTATTAAACACCTCTGAGGAAAGATGGCTGTGGGAAGGACTGGAGGGAGTGTCAGTGTGTGAGAGAGTGAGCTAGTGTATGAGAGTGTGAGTGGACATGAAGGTGGACGACCAAACTCATGCAGTGCAGAGATGCAGAGCAGAAGGTACCTGTGCTGTGAACAGGAGCAGCCGGCTATCTCAGTAAGTGGCCCTTCAGGGTACTTCTCCCTGCACCTCGGGGAGGTCTCACCATTTTGGAAGATCCCGGGTCTTCCCTGGGAGGTGGCAGTGGGAGTGGCTAGGTCCCAGCAACCTGAGCCCACCAGCACACCAGGCATCATCAGACCAGTAGACACTCTGTGTCAACACAGACTAGTACACAGTAGTGGAGCTCCGAAGGTGCCAGACGTGGAAGCTAGGGACAGCCGGGAGCCCAGCATCATCCCCCATAGTAGTAACCCAATCAGAGTGGAGATATACCCCCAGCAACAGAGGCTGGGGAGCAGACATCCATTCTCAGGCAATAGAAGCACAGACCAGCAGCTGAGACCCATCCCCAAATACTACAGCAAAAGCTGAGCAGAAGTTGAGCCCCACGGGGAAGCAGCACTCCCTAGCCGCCAGCAGTGGGACCTGGGGCTCCACAGAGGTCTGTGCAGTCCAGCAGCTCACAAGAGCAGTGGAAGCAAGAGCCCAAAGGAGACTTGTGCTATCCAGCTGCCCGCCTGCAGGACCTGTAGGGTGCGGGGGCACCAGAGAAGCCTGTGCGACTCAGCAGGAACTGTGTGATCCAGTTACCTATGAGACCTGTGGGGTGCTGAAGCACCAGAGAGGCCTGTGGGTCCCAGCAACCCATAACATAGGCATAGAGCCAGGACTGTGTGATCCAGTTACCCATGAGACCTGCAGGTTACAGAGGCACCAGAGAAGCCTGTGAGACCCAGCTGTGTACAAGATAGGCATAGAGGATGTGAAAATGGAGGCAGAGTGAATAGAAGATACACCTACAATCTCCCAGGACCAAACAGGAATTACAATTAAAATAAAGACAAATCCTTGGAAAAATGCAACAGAAAAGCATTAGGACAGGACCATATAACCAGGGACACTGGGAGGATAGATGGAGGTGTAAGAGGGTGGCGAGCTGGGAGCCCACAGACAGCAGCAGTCTTAGCTGTGAGCAGTGCCCTTGGGGAACAAAGACCAAGCCCTCTCCACAGTGCAGAGAGCCAGGGCAGAGGCTAAAATAGCCACAGCCACTCACCTGGGGGCTATGGCAGAAGGAGGGCGGACTGGGCTGGAACTCTGTGGGGACACCCGGGATTTGGAGGACAATCAGAGGTTTTTCTGAGTTGTGTTCCTTCTCAGAGCTGTGGGGAAAAGCAGCAGCCCACTCCCCCACCCCCCCGGAGATTCAGCCTTACCCAGGTGAGGCAAAGAAATGCAAATTGAGGCTCATTAACAACCAGCATCTATCCCACCCTCTGGAAATCCACTTATGCAGAACATGAGGGCTATATTCCAAGGCTCTGAGTAACTGAAATTACTAGCCTCCAGAAAAAGCTAGAGGATAACAGAACATTTCCTGGGCTTGCAAACCTACGAAGGAAAGTAAGACTTGCCTGTGGTGTTTAATGTGGGCCCGCACAGGCCCATCCAAACACAGTAAAGGGAGCCACAAACAACAGAACATCAACACACATAGAAAAAATTTGGCAGGCTCCAAAACTCACTGAGATAGCCCAAATAGTGAAACAAAAAAACAAATCCCAAAGGAAAGAACAAGAGATCTCTATCGAAGATGATATCAATGAAATGCAACTAAGCAAATTATCAGAGGTAGAGTTCAGAGCTATGATCTTGAGGAAGCTCAACAGCATGAGTAAGGACATCAACACCATAAGTAAAGATATATAAACATTGAAAACCAACCAAGTGAGAGTGAAGAATGACACAGCAGAAATTAAGAACACATTGGAAGGACTAACCAGCAGAGTAGAGCAAGCTGAAGACCATATCAGTAAATTAGAAGACCGGGTAGGAAAAATCAACTAATCAGAAAACCAAAAAGAAAAAAACAATTAAAAAACAGAAAGATAGCTTAAGAGAACTGTGGGACAATTGGGAACGTAATAACATTTGCATCATAGGAGTCCCCAAAGAGGAAGAAAATGGGCAAGGGTTAGAGAATATATTTGAAGAAATAGTGACAGAAAAAGTTTCTAACTTGGTGAAGGAAGAAGGCATTCAAAATCAAGAAGCACAGAGAGGCCCAAGTAAGAAGAACCCAAACAGGCCCAAACCAAGACACATAGTAATTAAAATGCCAAAAATTAAAGACAAAGAGAATCCTAAAAGCAGCAAGAGATAAGCAACAGGTTACCTACAAAGGAACTCCCAAAGGCTATTTGCTGACTTCTCAGCAGAAACACTACAGGCCAGAAGGGAGTGGCATGAAATAATCAAGGTCATGAAAAACAAGGATCTGAATCCAAGTCTACTCTATCCAGCAAGGCTACCATTCAAAATAGAAGGTCAAATAAAGAGCTTCACAGATAAAAAAGGCTAAGTGAATATATTAACACCATACCAGCACTGCAAGATATGCTAAAAGGACTGCTGTAATTAATAGAAGAAATAGGGAGAAAAATAGAACCACACTAAACAAAAATGGCAATAAATAATACATATCAATTATCAAATGTGAATGATTTGAATGCTCCAATAAAAAGACACAGAGTAACTGACTGGATAAGAAAGCATGACTCATATACATGTTGTTTCCAAGAGATCAACCTCACAACAAAAGAATCACATAGGTTGAAAGTGAAGGGATAGAAAAAAATAATTCAAGATAATGGAAAGAAAAACAAAGCTGGGGTAGCAATACTCATATCTGATAAAGTAGATTTCAAAATGAAGTCCATAATTACAGACAAAGAAGGCCACTACATAATATTGAAAGGATCTATCCAACAGAAAAATATAATCTTGGTAAACATATATGCACCCAATATAGTAGCACCAAAACATATTAAAAATCTTCTGGAGGCCCTGGCCAGTTTGGCTCAGCAGTTAGAGCATTGGCCTGCAGTCCTGAGAGACCCGGGTTCGGTTCCTGCTGAGGGCATGTACCTCGGTTGCAGTGTGTCCCCGGCCCTGGTTGGTCCTGTGGGTGGCAGCCACTTGATGTGTC